GCCGGGACGGGAGCGCGGCACGGAGCGGGGAATGGGGCTGGGAGCCCAAGGGGGACTGGAGATGGCAACCAGGCTGGGAATGGAGCTGGGAATGGAGATGGGAATCCACCCGGGAATGGAGCTGGGAACCCAAAGGGGACTGCAGATAGGAATCCAGCTGGGAATAGGACTGGGAACCAGGCTGGGAATGGGGTTGGGAATGGGGCTGGGAGCCCAAAGGGGACTGGAGATGGGAATCCAGCTGGGAATAGGGCTGGGAACCAGGCTGGGAATGGGGTTGGGAATGGGGCTGGGAGCCCAAGGGGGACTGGAGATGGCAACCAGGCTGGGAAGGGGTTGGGAACCCAAAGGGGACTGGAGATGGGAATTCAGCTGGGAAGAGGGCTGGGAATGGAGCTGGGAATCCAGCTGGGAATGGGGCTGGGAACCCAAAGGGGACTGGAGATGGGAATCCAGCTGGGAATAGGGCTGGGAATGGAGATGGGAACCCAAAGGGAATGGAACTGGGAACCCAAAGGGAATGTAGCTGGGAACCCAAAGGGGGTGAGAGCTGGGAACCCAGTAGGTAATAGGGCTGGGAAGCCAAAGGGAATGGAGCTGGGAACAGGGCTGGGAATGGAGCTGGGAACCCAAAGGGAGCTGGGAACCAGGTTGGGAATAGGGCTGGGAATAGAGCTGAGAACCCAAAGGGGGATGGGAGCTGGGAACCCAACTGGGAATGGAGCTGGGAACCCAGAGGGGGAATGGAGCTGGGAATCCAGCTGGGAATAGGGCTGGGAGCCCAAAAGGGACTGGAGATGGGAACCAGGCTGGGAACGGAGCTGGGAAACCAAAGGGAATGGAGCTGGGAACCCAATTGGGAATGGAGCAAGGAACTGGGCTGGCAATGGAGCTGGGAACCCAAAGGGAGCTGGGAACCCAGCTGGGAACCAGGCTGGGAATGGAGATGGGAACCTGACTGGGAATGGAGCTGGGAGCCGGTCTAAGAATAGGGCTGGGAGCCGGTCTAGGAATAGGGCGAATGGAGCTGGGAACCCAAGGTGGACTGGAGCTGGGAACCAGGCTCGGAATAGGGCTGGGAATGGAGCTGGGAACCCAAAGGGGACTGGAGCTGGGAACCAGGCTGGGAATGGGACTGAGAACCCAATGGGGATGGAACTGGGAACCTGACTGGGAATGGAGCTGGGAATGGGGCTGGGAACCCGGCTGGGAAGGGAACTGGGAACTCGGTTGGGAACGGAGCTGGGAACCTAAGGGAGAGTGGAACTGGGAACCGGGCTAGGAATAGGGCTGGGAATGGAGCTGGGAAGCCAAAGGGGACGAGAGCTGGGAACCCAGTAGGGAATAGGGCTGGGAAGCCAAGGGAGAGTGGAGCTGGGAACCGGGCTGGGAATGGAGCTGGGAATGGAGCTGGGAACCCAAAGGGGACGAGAGCTGGGAAC